CCAAATTTTCCTGTTTCTTATGTGCCCTCTGGCGCTGAGCACATCTTGAGTCGTCTTTAACTCCAGGGTGAGGTAACTTCTGTGCCACAACTGTTTAGGAATGGTTAGGTTAGCAAAGCCTGCCAGGCAGGAGACATCCATCCTCTGAGCAGAAAGGTTAGCAAAGCCTGCCAGGCAGGAGATATCCATCCTCAGAGCACAGTGTCTGTCCCTGTCGGGTGAACATACTCACCTGTGTGTTACGTGTCCAGGCAGCGTTTTGTACAAGTGGGACAAACATCCAGTCCTCAGAACCTGCAGGCTGCCTGTGTTTGCAGCCCAACATCATCCCCAGTCAACAATCCCATGGGAAGAAGCTCAGGACACATGCCCAGGTAAGCAGGAGGTCTTGCAGCACTCCCAGGAGACAGATCTGTCCCTGCTGCCTGAGCCCACACGGGCTAGGGTGGCCAGTTTGGCCAAAAATGAGAGAGCTTTGGTGTGGGAGTCAACCTGGGTAAAGACTCCAAACACCTCTCTCTGGCTCTTGGTTTATATTTCCTGGAGTAATTCGTACAGGGAAAACACAGTCTGATGTTTCTGTTTCTAGGACTTGCATGTGACTCCAGGGACAGAAAGGGCCTCTGCTAAGCAGCAGAACCAGAATGAATTTCCACCCTAATATGCACAATAAGCAAGGGATTATTAATCAGGGAAAAAAAAAGTCAAATTTCTCCAAGAGATTCTGGGTTTTTTTAGAAACAGATGAAAGAAAATAGATGCTAGTAGCACATTAGCAGCTTAGCATTGTGTATGTGTGTTGGCTGCTTTAAAATGCAATGGAGGTAACATATCACTTAATAGTGTATAAATTGGGTTTCAAGTTCTAAAAAATGTCAAGGACTGTTGAGAGAGTCTTTGGCATTTCCTGCTGTATGTGGACCTTTAGTTGTTCAGTTCTGTCTGTGTACCTTCATGGCATTCTTGTGGCAGCTTTTCAGAGAGGATCACCTGGTGGTGGTGGTTTCTTCCCCATCCCTGTCTGGTCTCTCCAGTGTTTGCACGGCCACAGAACTGGGTGTTGGATCCTCTCAGGGCAGTTGAGTGTTTTGTACGTAGTTTGGATCAGATTTAAATTTTTTTTAAGGTTAGGGCTTTGCTTCTCTGTGTCATCTGTGCAGACAGAGTCTGACAAGCTCTGTCAGTCTCAGAAACTGTGGCAACTCCAGCATGACTTACTGAGCTGGAAGTAAGCAGTGGTAGCAGAATTTAACCCACTTAGATATTTCATTTATTCTTAGGTGCAGTTCTGCTAAAGTAATTTCGTTGGGAACAAAACTTGACTGACAAGGGGAATTAACTTAACTTGAATATTTAAAACAGTAAAGTTCACTTTCCAGCACAAAGCAATATTAATGTTGACACCTTGTCAGCAGTATTGTGATGTTTTTTGGGGCTGAGAGAACATGTGAAGGAACTTTGCTGGGGGAAGCTCTGTCACCGTTCCCATAACTTCTGATTTTTGTCTTCTGAGGATGCTTTTCTCCGTGGGAGATGTGCAGGGGAGTTGCATCTTGGTGAGCTGTTTCTGCCCTTGCTTGTCAGTGTTTCATCACCCTGTGCAAACAAGGAGGTGATGTTTTTGTTTCAGAGGGTCATTCATCTGGTACAGAGTTTATAGCAGCATCCTGCAGGACAGCAGCCTTCCAGGGCAGGAATTGCCAGACTCTAAGGGTGCTGAGAAGGTGTTTGCATGAATTACAATAGATTTTGAGAGGAGGGTCTTCCTTGTGTATCTGGCTGTGTGGCAAGGTTTAGGTGAAGTTTTCATTCTTCTGAAAACTGTATCAAGACCCAATGCAAGCCTTGGATTTTTATGTCACATAGAATAGCTTCTGGAGAGAGGGAGGAGAGGGAATAGGCTGCCTGACAGCTGAAGGGCACCTCTAGAGAAGGAGGGAAAGGTTCCTTCCTTCCATAGGAAGCTGAGAGGTTAATGTTTGCAGGAAATAGAGATTTCTGAGTGCTGGGAGCTGGGCCAGAGCTGGAGTCTGAGGCCATTAGGCCTCATCAGAGAGCTGAGCTTCATTTTGTCTTTAATCATAGTCTGCTTAGATGCATGTCATGAGTCCCTGTCGTAAGGTGAGGCCAGTTCTGCATCACCTCTTTAATCATGGCATGTTCCTTCCTGCCTGGGCTGGGGAATCAAAGCGTCAGGCGCTGGAGAGCTCGGATTGCACAGGATCAAAGCCTTTCCTTACATCCTGCCATCAATTCCAACTACTTTTTCTTTTTGTGAGCAGCCTATTACACCTGAGCACGTCCAGTTTTGTGTGGTTATTGATTCCTTCTGCATGTCTTGAGTGACATAGATTCTTCTGCTGACATAACTGTCCATGCCTCCTCCTTCCTGGCATCTGCTGGAATCAACAGGAAGGTTCCAATGCAGATTTTTTTAAGCAGTTCTGTTACCATGGAAGGCATTCTCAGGCTGATAAAGCTTTGATCTGGAACACGTCTGCTTCTGAGGGCAGATCTGCAGTCAAATAAGCATAAAGCCAAAATGAAACTTTTGGACTAGGAAGAGCAAACAGCACGTCTGAATCGGTTTCTGCAGCTATTTTTGCAGCCCTTTTCTGGCTTTACTCTTTCTCTTAAGTGTAAAGCTGTTCATGGTAACCTTTCTTAGGAAGAAGAGATGAAATCTGAATGAAGCTGAAAAAAATTAGTGTTTGTGAATGAGCTTCAAAGGGTTTTCTGGCAATTAAACCCAAGTTCCGAATGAAATGATTGTGTCAGTTGGTAATGAGTTAAATACTTGCTTTCTTCAGAGGTTGTACACCCAAGCAGCAATCAGACAACAAAATGCCTGTCCCTTGTCATTTCAGGGGTATGTTCTGGTGTGGTGTCTCTGATGTGTTTGTGTATTGAGCAGCAGAAAAAGGAGAGTGAATAGTGCTGCTGAGAATGATCAGTGTGTCCCACAGCCTTGTGCTATCGCTGGGGTAACAAACACAAAATCAAAACCTCCAGGGAAAGCGTTTGGTTTGAAGAAATGCAGGTTCTGTAACACTTCACAGGTCGAACAAATACTTGCATAGTTTCTTGATTAGCACAAATGTACATGTTCTTG